AGACATTTGGATATTATCCGGTTGAACAAAACGTGATCTGTCTCTTCAATTTGTGTCAACCACAGACCTTATTTCGAGCTATTTTCCAAAATCCTATGGAGAAATTGCATTGGTTTTTGTACTTCTGGGTTTTAGGACGCGTCACTGTGGCACTCTATTCCAGTAAGGTTACTCAAATATACTATTTGCAATCGGAGAAACAAATTAAATATTTAGAAAAAAAAATCCGATGCATGCAAGTACATTGTACTTATTACATTTATTGAATAGATTAGAAATCCATTTGCACAGATTTGGTATTTTATTTATTTTTTACATCACATTTATCAGAAACCTCAAAGTATAACGGAAAAATAAGCCTTGCGTTGCTGTTAATAGACGCTGGCAGAGGTGGGGACTCGAGTCACATGACTTGACTCGAGTCAGACTCGAGTCGCATATTTTTTGACTTGAGACTTGCTTGACTAACATTGATGAAAGACTTGACTTGACTTTGACTTGGTATTCATGACTTGAGACTTGACTTAAGCTTGAGACAGATGACTTGAAAGGACTTGTCTGTTTAAAATTAAATATTTGCGTTTGTTTTTGTAGTGAGATATTACGTTTAGTTTTTTCGAAAAACGTGATTGGGTGATTATAGCGCCGTGCGCGCAAACCTGGCAACCCACTAGACGGCAGGAGTGTCAGTTAACATGGCAGCGGCTAGCGTTACTCCACAAATAGTCAAGTTTGGATTCAAGGATTATGTTTTCGATGACGCTAATAAGAAGAGAACAGCGGTATGCAGGGTCTGCAGCATAAAGATCAGTGACACGACCACCACAACATCCAACTTCATTCGTCACTACAAAAAAACCCACAGAGAAAGGTGCGTGAATGTGTTGTGTTAGCTAGAAAGCTAACGTTAAGTTTAAGCTACGTTAGACTTGGTTTCAAATCGATGAAGCATTGCAAAGAGAAGACAAAACGGTAAATGAACACTAGAACCGCCAAGGGATTCATTTTGACTAACCCCGATACTGACGGGCTGTCAGGAGAGGGAGAGGGAGAGAGAGAGAGAGAGGCCTCGTTTATTTCCCCTGTGTTATTATCAGAAGTTACTGTAAACTGTTGAATCATGTAGTTCATCTACTTTTAGTAGTTTGTTTAAATGTTTTAATTATGTTGTTTTTGTTTGTAGAAGTGCATCATTCCTTGATTTATTGTAAAATGAATCTGAACTTTTTGATCTGTTATGATGATAAACTGAAGCAATTTCTAAATTAACCCAATTAAGTGAGTTTTAAATCCTAGCTATATTGTCTGCAGTTCTAGGGTTAATATGAATCTAATATGATTGTCATCGGTCTAAATTAGATTTCAAATGATTAACTGTGTATGTAATGAAGATCATAGTGTGGGTTGAATCCATTTTCATAACCACTGTCTTTTAACTGATTTAAATGTGGAAACTGGGCTTATTCATCAGAATTTCGTATGACTTGACTTGACCTGAGCAATGACTTGACTTGCTTGACTCTCACCACAGTGACTTGGGACTTGCTTGATACTTGTAGGTCAAGACTTGAGACTTGCTCATGACTTGCACATGTAGGACTTACTCCCACCTCTGGACGCTGGACTGAATTACTCCAAATGTTTAATCCTGAAATCGTGTTTTGTTGTCCCCAGTTTGGCTTCATCACATATGAAGTTGGTGAGAGCAAGAAGCTTTTCTTCCATGTAAAGGAAGTGCAAGATGGCCTAGAGCTCCAGACCGGGGATGAGGTGGAGTTCTCCGTCGTCCTCAATCAACGCACAGGAAAATGTAGTGCCTGCAACGTACGCAGAGTCAGGTAAAGACTGCAGAATGTAAAGTTTGGTTTATTTAACTGTAATCAGAATGTTTCAGAATGAATGCTCACTGTCAACCTGACGTTACAGCGAAGGGCCTAAGCCTGTGGCGACTCCGCGTCCAGATCGTCTGGTAAACCGATTGAAGAGCATCACCCTTGACGACGCCAGCGCTCCACGTCTGGTGATTGTAAGGCAGCCCCGGGGTCCCGACAATTCAAAGGTAAACGAAACCTGGGCTCTGGCTTCATTGTGTCTGTGATATGATTGTAGCTGCTAATCTTTTACCTTTTATATGTGATTCAATTGAAACCTTAACTCCAATTACCAATTAAACGTATATATGTAAATACAAAGTTGTTTAAAGGTCCCATGTCATGGCCATTTCTACTGATCATAATTCCATTGTTGAGGTCTACTAGAATAGATTTATATTGTGCAATTTTCCAAACTCACATTGGTTTCTCATACAGCATCTCTGTATAGTATGTGTATTCACTCTCTGTCCTAAACGGCTTGTTGGAGCTCCTGCCCCCCCCTCCCTGTGAGCCCACTGTGCTCTGATTGGTCAGCTCGCCCACTCTGTTCTGATGAGTCTACCACTATGGTCCACCACCGCTACAGCAGAACATCAGTGATTATGTGTTACAATGGCGTTAGCAACCAGAAAATGACAGCAGTAATGACAAACAGATGAGAATGCTGCGTGGGGTCTGGGTGCCGTGTTGGCGGGATGTTGCGAGGAGCGGGCAGTGTGAGCTGGGTTCATTTCCTGCTTGCTGCGTGGGGTCTGCGAGACATCACGAATGGACGTGGGAAGGGGGGGATGCAGAGGGGGCTGCAGCACCCCCATCTGCGAGGCTCCACTAGCACCCGCAACCCCCCCGCACCCCCAAACGTGGTGCACCTACAGTGTAAGCGCTCCACAGTTTCGCCGCTGTGAGGCTCCACTACGAGGCTCCATTAATCTAACGTACCCCCCAGAAATAAAAAATTATGAAGTAAAAATAATTTACACTCATAACCCTCACAAAGTTATATGAACCGTTATTTTGAAAACAAAAACATAACGTGCACATTAATTATCAAATTATTAAAATCACATGTTTTTAGCTTTTTGTTTGCTAACTAAAAGCAAATGTCTCATTTTATAGACAATATTAATTTCCATAAGGTGAGATATATGTAAGGAAGTATAACTGCAATGAATTATGACCCAGGCATTATAGTTTAATCAATCTGGATTTTTCTACAGGATTGCGAATTGTACTTTTTAATATCTATGTCATCTCAGTGTTACTTAATGATGAATTGCAACCCCTAGGAATTTCTTTTTAGTTTCCAAAAAACACCAATTTAGTTCTTGATATGAAGAGACAATTTATTGTCGAGGAATTGCAGCTCCCTTTCGTCAGTTTTTACTTCGTACATGTGGAATGGTGTATATACAAAGGTGTAAGCTGCAACATTAATACCATGCATCCTTCTCCGCAGGGCTTCAATGTGGAGCGCAAGACTCGCCAGCCGGGTGTCATCGACTGAGCCATACAGAGCCCACCCTGTTTGGTGTTGGTGGGAAGCTTTCCCAGAGGCCGACGATAAGGGAATTTGATTCAACACATGCTTGCACACACGCATTCATAGACAGAACATACGCATACATACAGTGATCAGCATGTGCAATCTTTGTCCCATCGATACCTGCGAGGGAACCTTTCTCATTCCACAGTTCCCTGCCTCGCCTCCCCCCGGTATGATGGACCTGCTGCAGAGTTCCAGCGTACATGGGGAGGGGGCTCTGAGTGTGTGCGTGTGTGATGTATCCTAGCAGTGATTGTAGTGTGTTTCTGAGGGTCTCGCCCCTCTAAATCAGAGTGATGACTGTGTGGCTGTCCATGTCCCTATTTCTTTGAACCTGCTTTGTCTGGAATTCTGCACCTGTAATCTGTCCAATAGTTTGCCTGGGATGTCTTTGAGCATCTACTCCTTTTTTTTGTGTTTTTCATATTTTTGCTCCTTTACCCATGGAAACTTAGATATGGTTTCATTATCAAGTTTTCACTACTGTATGCTTTCCTACAAGACACATAAAGCAAAGCAAAGTTCCCTCCATAAGGAGGATCATATTTCTCATGTGCGAGCTTAAACTGAGGATTCTTCTCTGCTCGGTTTTTTTGAGCAGTTTTTTAAAACGCTTTATTGAAGAGCTGAGGTGAAAGCATGGTGTGTATGTGTGTGATGTATGTGAATGTCAATGTAGTTAATCTAATGGGATTTACTTTCACCAATCTGGAGCCTTTAGATACCTTTTTGGTATTCACATGCTCCGCTTAAGCAATTTTTTCGCAGGTGCAGAATTCCTTGTGGCATCTTATATCTGCAGTTATTTTATACAATTTTTTTTTCTTTCTCTCTTGCACATATTTTTGCTTTTTTTCCATTGAAAATCTGCTAATATTGAATTAAGTAAGAATAAGGTGCCTAAAAAAAACTACAAGCAAAAAAAAAAAAAAGGAAAAAACAAAATTAGATGTACCCTCTGTTCCCAGCCAACCGCCAAAAAAATCTGAACAATCTAAGGGTGGCTTTTTTTTTTTTGTTTCTAGTAGAAATTATACTGATATGCATCCCAAACCTGTGGGTTGAACTATACTGTATGTAATGTGTGCTTTTTTTTTTTTTTTTTTTTTTTTTAGTTGCTTAGTTGAAGTTCTTTGGAACATCAAAATATAACAAAACAAATTTAACTTAAAAAAAGGCAAAGGGTGAAGTATTAGAAATTCAGTTAAAAGAAAATAAATAAAAAAAGCATTAAGAATCAGGTTACCAGTTATTGTGCACCGGAGAGACATGGTGGGTGAGCTGTTGCGCCTCTGCACATAAAGTTACACTATAAATTAATTTAAACTTTGGAGATCACTGGGTTTAAGTTGAACCACAAACAGAGGTTCTCATGTTCTTTTGTCTTGAATGAAACAATTGAATTAAAGTTTTATGAAAATCACGAGCTGTTGTACATTGTCTGTTTTCATAGAAATTCTGCATTATGTATGACTGAACACGGAAAGAATTTAAGTAGCTGTGAAATCACTTTAAGTTGACCAATGTTCACCACCTAGCATTCACTTAAGGGCAAGAAATAAGAATGTAAAAAGGCATTTGGAGAGATTAGCTAATGGTTTATTACATAAAGACAAGATGGGTTCTCCACAGTAAAACAATTAATGGTATTCAGCAGATGACAAAATGTGCATATTCACAACAGATAAAATGATCCGTTTCCTCAGAAAGAAGATTCAGTGTCACAACAGTTTAGTTTACAAAGTTAATCGTTCCTCAAATTGTGGACGGCATCCACAAAGTGCTCGCATGAAAGCTGGAAAAAAAGAAAGTTCTTTATTTCCCTATATTTAAGTAGAGTACAATATTATTCACAAATATGCATGGTCTCATGTTCGATTCACAAAATCCTCCTTACAGAAGTAGTTTTGAATTTCAAATTTAAGATAAGTATTTTGTTAGTGTATGTTTATTGTACTGTACACAAAAGTAGCTTAAGATTTTTCTTTTTGGGTTTTGTTATGGAAGTACTTCCTGTAAAAACCCTTGTTCACTCGCTTAGGAGTTCAGAGTTGCACATTTACAAAATGCCGAATACATGTTGAACCAGAAGGATCAGCATCTTGCATTGGGATGATTGAAATGACCACACAGGAAGGCATTCCCAATATGTATTCTCCTAAAGTCTTAATATTTGGGACATTTGTCAATATGATTCTAAACCTTGGTACTGCCCAGATATATGGTAAGCTCAGAGCGGTGAATCACCTTCTTTCTAGTCTGTGGTTGAGGGCCTTGGGCTTGAGACCAGCGTGTCCACCACTCCCTCAGTTCTGTGGGCCCGGTGGGCCGTCGCTCCTTTATCTGCCCGGGAGGAACTAGAGCGTGAGGAGGGTTCAAGTCCTCACTGGGCAGGAACTTCCTGTTAATATTTACATCCCCATCTTGATCAGATTGTTGGTCCTTAGTTGAAACGGCTGAATTCTCCGTGGCAGCATTTTCAACGTTTTCCGAAATGCTCTCTGAAACCCCTTCATCACTGTTTGGAGTGGCAAAGAATTCAAGCCCCTGCATTTTGTGCTTGTACTCCTCCAGTTTGGCCTTGCACCTAACAGCATTTGCTCTCATCTCAAGGAACTGGCTTTGCAAATCTTTCTCGAAACCTTCCTCTGCCTTTAACTCATTCTCCCAAAACTTGATCTGCTCTTCCTCCTCTTCAACCATTCTCTCCTGGGCTTCCTGCTCGTCTTTTTCAGCCCGTTGTTTTTCCTCAAGCTCCAAAATCTGTTTGTCTATGCGTGCAATCTGGTCCTGCAAATCCTGCAAACAGCTCAGTTGATATATTATGGTTTCTCTTAGACTGTTTTTCTCATCTTCACTTGTAGCAGATTTCGAGCTGGCTACTTGATCAGATGTTGCCACTTCAGTCTTCTCTGCTCGTTTACTTACTTTACCCCTCGTCTGGCTTCCCATGCAGCAGGACGTTTGATGATCCAAGTCTGACTTCACACTTTTCTGACCTCTGACTTTGCTTCTACTTCTTCTACCTGAGTTACCATCGTCCACAGTGAGAGAAACACCCAAAGAGGTACAATTCCTTTTATCGGTCTTCTTACTGCTGTCCTTATCACATGCGGTACTATAGACCTTGCCTTTACCCAGACTCTCCAGCCATTCCCAGGCTTCCTCCATGAGCGTCAGAGACTTTCTTTTTGGCCGTTTCACATCCTCTTTCTGCTGCTCAGCCTCTTGTCTCAAACTTGGTGGCAAACTTTGACGATGCAAACTCAGTAAACCGCTTCCCCGCCGCATTCTGGTGCCTGCATCTTTCCTTCTCAATGGTGGGCAAGGCTGGTATCTGCCAACTTTTGTCCTGCTCATTTCGTCCAAGACCAAGGGTCCGTTGTGAAGCAGTGTGAGTCGGACGTCCCTTGCCTGCTGGCCGTATTTCTCAAGAGTCTCCAGTAGGCATTCATTGGGTGCCATGCTCCGCTCAAAGTCTTTAAATTTCTCCTGTAATGTGTAGCGCCCTGGTTGACCTTAAGAGAGATGTGACAGTGTTGTTGTCAGTGTTGTCAACATGTCAGGACATAAAGATTTCAATGTAGAGCCACATATAGTATACTGTACATACCAAGGGCTTGAGCCAATGCTATAACGACTTCTTGACATGTCGTTTCCTCTGTTACGCCACAAACCACACGGGGAATACCGTCCACGAACACCTTCACCTCCATTGTGCCTGTCTGAAAAGGACATACAAGTTTAGTCACATTTTGCAGGTCCTCTGTTAGGGGATGTGGTGGAGACAGCAATTTGACTCTCATTAACATTCACTTGTAATCTGTCTGCCTATCATGTGTTGGTCAAGCTTGAGGGCAGTTTAAAAAACATTGTAGAATGTCTACAGTTACCCCGTCATACTTAAAATAAATGTACAGAAAACAATCTTCTAATAGCCTACTGGCTTTACAAGAATTACCATGAAAAATATTAAAGCACCTACCTTCTGTCCTGTCTGTCGTACTGAGGCTCAGACTGCTCTGCTCTGGGAGGGTGTTCTGGTTGGGAGGAACTCCGGAACAATTAAGAACAATTAAAATTCCTGAAGTCACCTACCATTGGAGGACAGTTTATGATCCCACCCATCATGTTTCCATTCTGCTTGAAAAAACACTTTCTCTTGGGTTATTTAGAAAATTGGAGGATAGAAAATAAAGGAGATATTCTGTCAGTCAAAGTAAGCCCTCAGATGGTATGAATTGAATAGATGTATGGGTTAGCAATCAGTGCATTAACCACATAAGACATTTTGAAGTTGTTTTTGAACTTTTTTGTCAGTTTTCATGTTTTTGTCAGTTTTCATGTTTTACTCCATCATCAAAAAAGCTCGACAGCGGCTCTTCTTCCTCCGCAGGCTGTGGAGGTTCAACATGGACTCCAGGATACTCTGCAACTTCTACAGGTGCACCATAGAGAGCATCCTGACCTTCTACAGTTGCACCATAGAGAGCATCCTGACCTTCTACAGGTGCACCATAGAGAGCATCCTGACCTTCTACAGGTGCACCATAGAGAGGATCCTGACCTTCTACAGGTGCACCATATAGAGCATCCTGACCTTCTACAGGTGCACCATAGAGAGCATCCTGACCTTCTACAGGTGCACCATAGAGAGGATCCTGACCTTCTACAGGTGCACCATATAGAGCATCCTGACCTTCTACAGGTGCACCATAGAGAGGATCCTGACCTTCTACAGGTGCACCATAGAGAGGATCCTGACCTTCTACAGGTGCACCATAGAGAGCATCCTGACCTTCTACAGGTGCACCATAGAGAGGATCCTGACCTTCTACAGGTGCACCATATAGAGCATCCTGACCTTCTACAGGTGCACCATAGAGAGCATCCTGACTGGCTGCATCACGGCCTGGTGCGGCAGCTGCACCGCCCTCAACCGTAAGGCTTTACAGAGGGTGGTGAAAACTGCACAGAACATCACCAGGACGGAGCTGCCATCCATGGAGGACCTTTACTCCCAGCGGCTCAGGAGGAAATCACTACGGATTATAAAAGACCCCCATCACCCCAGCCACAAACTGTTCTGTCTGCTGCCGTCTGGCAGGCGCTACCGCCACACACATTCTCCACAACTAGCTTCACCATTTCTAGTTCACTCAACCCCTGACATTTAAGACAACATAATCCATAGGATGTCCTAGCATAACTAGGACCGAAGACAGTGCCTATGAAACGTGCTGTTGTTTAACAAACAGGTCATGCATACGTGCATTCACAAGTGTTTATGTGGTTATGCTGTTTTTAGATCTGGGTGTTCCTCTTTATCTTTCAAACAGGAAGGGTGATTACAATCCAAACAGAACATTTAAACATGCTGAACTCGTAAACTGTGCACCAGTGAGCTATTACTATCCAGGACATTCCTCAGTGAATCTGTGCAGTTAAATATTCTGAACCGTCATCCAATAAAATCAAGGCAATATAAATGAATACCATGTTATTTATGCACTTTTTGGAAGATGTATCTCTTTTTGTGAGAAAATGTTTATTTTCCTATACTAAAAGTTGGATTCAGTACAACACAAGTCATCAGCCTCACCATTTGTTTACTTCTGGACCACTGGACTGCCCGACAAAGATTCAAATAAATGTTTTTTTTTAAATAACAAAATCAGTTATAGTGTTTATTAAAGAACTTTCTCCAGTGCCATGGACAAGGGGTCAATTATATTTCCCTTTGCACAGTTGGTTTGAGCTATAGAGTTCCACAGAGATCATTTCTAATAATGAGAGATACAATTGCAAAGTTTATGGGGAGGCCAACAACTTTATCGTGGTTTTCAAAGCCAAAAGTAAACGTGTTTTCTTGTAATGTGTCAAGTTTTGTACCAGATAAAAAGGCCTTAAAGTGGCTGTTTTTCTTCAGTGAACCTTGCTTTAAGTCAGGAGTCTCTGTGTGGAAGATGGTGGAGCACAGGTCTCAGATATCTATCCACATGCAGGGAGGATGTAGTCACCAGTAAACCTGACACCAGTCATATTTAATACCAAACAAAACATTGGGTAACACTTTTCACTTCGAGTCCCGGGTGTTCGCCTCCATGTGCACACAACTGGGCATGCACAAAAATCGCACCTCCCCCTTTCAGCCTCAGAGCGACGGACTAGTCGAGAGATTTCATCGCACCAGCAGCTGGCCATCCTCGCGTCTCAGCACCAGCGTGAATGGGACGATCATCTGCTCTGGTGCTCATGGCATGTCGCTCTGCAGTCCAGGAGTCCTCAGCCTGTTCTCCTGCCCTCCTCATGTTAGGGAGAGAGCTTCGCACCCCTGCCGTTTTGGCGTTTGGTCAGCCGCCGGATTCCCTGGACACTCCTCCAGGGCCTTAGTACGCCAGGAGACTTCAGGACCGCCTTGATTCAGCTCACGCCTTTGCCCGCGATCAGCAGAAAAGTGCTGGTGTGAGACAGAAACGGAACTATGATACAAGGACACAAGGGCAGCACTTCCGGGCCGGGGAGCTGGTCTGGGTCTCCAGCCCACAATGGAAAAAAGGCCGGTGCCCAAAACTTGACAGCCATTGGGTTGGTCCCTGCAGAATACTGGAGAGGGTGGGGGAAGTGGTCTACAGGGTGCAGCTGCCTCCCAAGGGGAGACAAGTTGTGCTCCACAGAGACAGGTTGGCCCCTTACAGAGGAGTCGCTTCTCCACATGCCCAAAGGACCCCGGGGCCGTTGTCCACAGCCTCCCCCTCGACACCCCCACCCAGGTCCCCCGGTGATCAGAGCAGCAGCCCCCCCATCAGTGACTGAGTTTCCCCCCACTTTCTTCCCCATTTCCCCGCCTGGACCAGAACCGGCTCCCTCTGACCCTCTGACCCCAGCCCCCCTGCCGAGAAGGCAGACACAACCCCCAAGTCGGTTCAGAGACTTTGTGTGGTAAATAAAGTTAATAGTGAGACCCCTCGGTTCCTGTAGAGGGCAAGAATGTGCCCTGGTCTCACTGGAAGTGATGGTAGTCCACCCAGACCTTCCTAGTTCAATTTTGTTTTTAAATCTGTTTTTAAAAATGTGTTACACATTGTGCTGTGGGTTTGTGTTTAGTCGCAGGTGTTTTTTGTTGTTGTTATTTGTTGCTCGTGGGCGAGGAACTTTGTGGTAGGGGGGTAGTGTAGCGACCCGGTATAGGGTGCTGTGTGGGTCACTCAAACATCCCCCGTCTCTCTGCCAATCACAGAGCTGCACAGTAATGCTGGTTGGTGTGCTCAACCTTATTGCTTAATCTTAACTCATAACATGCCTTATGTTGAAGTGTGAATGGTGGATGTGGTTGGGGGAGCAGAGGGGGGAGGGCTGGAGAGTGTGTGACGTTGACCCTGCTGTGTGTGTGAGTGAGGGAGTGGAGTACTGAGTGATGTTGAACCTGCGACCTGTAACCTGTGACCTATGAACCTATATCTGTATGCTATCAAAGGAGTTATTAAACCTAATAACTTGAGGCCTGTTTCCGACTCCTATTGTGGAACGTTACAATATATACAAAAACATCATTTATAGGGTACTTTCTATTGGGAAGTAGCTGTCCCCAACCCTGACATCTAAATTTCAATTTCTGTAAATAACACTTACATTTTTATTTTTTATTTTGTTCAATGGTGTATTTAGAAGATCTTTATGATTACATTCAAACAGAAGTTGGAATATTTAGATTTATTGTGGGTTTAATTTTTTAATAAAAAAACTATACTAAAAGAATCATGTCCCCAGTTTTCATGTCACTACCGAAACACAAGGGGTTTTAGTCCAATGGCTGAGCCTGGTTTTTAGCCACACCCCTGCATTTTTGACTAGGCAGTGACACTGCATCCCTGTCCCTCATGGCTGAATGGCAAGTAGCTATATCCCATACTTTTGATATAAATCTGTTCCAAAATCTGAAAATCGGCGTGTAACCTTAAGAATTGTCACTACCGAACACATATTATCTTCAATTAAGTAAACTTTTTTTTTTTTATATATATATATATATTTTATGCAAAGTATTATGTTTTTATGTGTGGAAACCTCTTCAAAAACGTGTATGCTAGCCATGTACTTGCTAGCATTCTTTAGTTATGCTCAATTTCAGCTAGAATCGTCACTACCAAAACAGTCACTACCGAAACATATGGTTACGTTTCGGTAATTGACATGATCGTTTCGGTAGTGACAAAATTGAATGGTAAGCAGGTAAATCCCACCATTTTGAATTAAATGTGTTTTAAAGTCTGAAAATCAGTGTGTTACTTTAAAGGTCTCTTATTATACTATTGTTAGGCCTATATTATAGGTCTCAGATATATAAAGATAGATAGATAGATTCTATCTATATGGCGCTGATCTTAGATCTTAGTGGAGGAAAACAATTGTGACATCACTTACGCGACTCTGGGATTTGTAGTCTTTCTAGTTACGTATTTTTCATAGTCTTATATTTCAACAGTTTTACGACAAACTGTGACTTTTTTGACATGGAAATGATTTTTTAAGATTGACAAACATCATATGTGTAATTCATGGCACAATTCAAACGGGATCGAAAGATAAGTTTTCTCTCCCCATTGACTTCAATGCATAATTTTTCCGAAATAAGGTCCCATTACCCGGAAGTAAGTGGGCGTGACTTCGCCACTCTATTCACACTTCAACATAAGGCATGTTATGAGTTAAGATTAAGCAATAAGGTTGAGGGAATATGATACAACCTTGAGAACAAAATACTGTGGTCACTACCGAAACAGTGGATGTTAACTACAATGATATGATACTGATTGGTTTAATGTATGTTCAATTTCAACAATCATCAACTCTAGAATCAATATGATCAGTATTATGCATTTTACAAAGAAAGTTTGCATTATGATTTTTATGAATTGTATAAATTGAACTTTGAAATTTGATTACAAATTAAATTGCATTGATTTAATTGTGAAAACCCTCAAGAAATGTTTGTTAAAATACTATTTAGAGAAGGGAAGGTAAAACAATCTTAACAGGTTAATATAATACTTTTTTACTACAGTGTAT